TAATGAAGATAAAAAGAGAGAAAACTCAAATAACTAAAATACAAGATAAAGAAGGAACTATCACAACAGACACGTCTGAAATACAGAGGATAATTAGTAACTATTTTGAAAATTTATACTCTAATAAAATAGAAGACATCAATAAATTTCTAGAGACATATGACCTATCCAAACTGAATGAGGAGGCCATACATGATTTAAACGCATCAATTTCAAGTAATAAAATAGAAAATGCCATCAACAACCTACCAACCAAGAAAAGCCCAGGACCAGACGGATTCTCATCCGAGTTTTATAAGACTTTCAAAGAAGACTTAACACCAATACTCCTCAAAGTATTCCATGGAATAGAATAGGAGGGAACCCTTCCAAACCCATCCCATGAAGCTAATATCACCCTGATACCAAAACCACAAAACACATCAAGGAAAGAAAACTTTAGACCAATATCTCTGATGAACATAGATGCAAAAATTCTCAATAAAATTCTGGCAAATTGCATACAAAAACATATTAAAAAGATAATGCACCCCAATCAAGTGAGATTCAATTCATACCAGGGATGCAGGGTTGGTTCAACATACAGAAATCAATAAACGTAGTTCATCATATTAATAAACTTAAAAACAAGAATCATATGATCATCTCAATAGATGCATAAAAAGCATTTGATAAAATACAGCACAACTTCATGTTCAAAACACCAGAAAAACTAGGGATAGTAGGAACATACCTCAACATTGTAAAAATATCTATGCTAAGCTCAAAGCCAGCATAATTCTATATGGAGAAAAATTAAAAGCATTCCCACTAAAAACTGGAACAAGATAAGGATGTCCTCTTTTATCACTTCTATTCAACATTATCCTTGAAACTCTAGCCAGAGCAATTAGACAAAAGAAAGAAATTAAAGGGATAGGTAAAGAAGAACTCAAACTATCACTATTTGCTGATGACATAATCCTATACCTAGAAGATCCAAAAAATTCCACCAGAAAACTTCTAGATCTAATAAATGAATTCAGCAAAGTAGTAGGATATAAAATCAACACCCATAAATCAAATGCATCCCTATACATCAGTGATAAATCCACTGAAAGAGAAATTAGGAAAATTATTCCATTCACAATAGCCTCAAAAAAAAAATGAATGAATAAAGAAAATGCAGTATACATACCCAATGGAGTTTTATTCAGCCATAAAGAAAAATGAAATCATGTCATTGAAGGAAAATTATTGGAACTAGAGACCATTTGTTAAGCAAAATAAGTCAAATGCAGAAGATCATCTAACATGTTTTCTCTCATGTGTGGAAGTTCAAGAGGGAAAAAAAAGGAAGTTATGGGGGATCTCTTGAAAATTAAAGGGAGATCAGTCAGTAGAGGAAAGGGACCAAGGGATGAAAGTCAGGGAAGGAGGATAATAATATTGACCAAATTATATTGTTATATTGTGTGCATGTACAATTAAGTAACAACAAATCCCATAATTATATATAATTATAATGCACCAATAAAAATTATTTTAATTCTTCTGACTTTTCATTGCAATTTTGTTTCATTTTTGACTACCTTAAAAGAGTATTCTTGATGATTTGTTAATAAGCTTTAACAAAACTCTTCCTCACAGTACTTTAGTATATTTTGAAATATACTACATGCACAGATTGGACTATAGATGTTCAAATTTTAAGTTATCCAGACATCAAAATATTATTCTGTGTTTATGTTAAAACAGCAATATTTCTGATAGAGTCTTTCCTCAGAACTATACATATACAATATGCAGGAGATAAACAATTTGAATATTTTCAAATATACATTTCTCTTCAAAGAAAACCCAAAGCCACCAGAAAACAGTACAATGTGTAAGGCTATCTTAGCAAATATCACATACACACATATAGAATGACTTTAAAAAAATGTTACTTTGGCAATGTGTTAACAAAGAACTAAGGGTTACTCTTCACTCCATAGGAAATTTGTCATAAACTTCAAGAAAAAAAAATGTTTTCCCTCATCTATATTCCAAGAAGAATTGATTCTAATTACGTTGCTCTGTTTTAAATGCAGGGTGTATCTGTTGCCCAACAGAAGCCATCCAGGTTAAGAACCAGGGTGTGCCCAGGCCCACAGCAAGGGTAAGGTTGAAGGAAAGAAGTCAGAATACTGAACTTTTGTTCAGTAAGAACTTCTGTTCTTCAAAGGACCTGGCACACAGCGGGGGCTCACCAAGCATTTGTGGTGATTTCTTTCTTATTTCCTCCCACATCAAAAAAAAATTCTAAGAAACAACTGTGGTTCAGATTCTCTGAAAACCTAAGTGGTCAGAAGTAATTCTCTTCAATGGACTCAACCACTTAACACCCCAGAATGGGAATTTATCAAGTTTGGCAAAAGGCACTTCTAGCCTTGCACTTTGCTAAAGAAAAACATTTAAGGATCTGAAGGATTGATGTCAATAGGATTGTGAGCAGAATAAGAGATGTTCCTAGCTAGCCAAGCAAGGTAGTACAGGCCTATAATTCCAGTAACTAGGAGGCAAAGGCAGGAGGATCACAAGTTGGAGGCCAGCCCAAGTAATTTAGGAAAGACCCTGTCTCAAAATAAAAAAACAAAAAG